GACGGGGGGACGATGGAAACGACACTAGTCCTGGAGCCTAGAAGTAACCTGAAGGTAAGTAGGAAAAATGCCGTCAAGTTTTGGGTGTAACTGAATTTAAAAAGGATTTTGGGAGGTTTCTCTTCAGCGTACCTGTAGCCACCACACTTGTTTTTATTCCTCAGAGTGTCGACTCCCAGCTCAGCCTGTCTGCCGTCTCTCAGAGCGACAGCGCCTCATCAACCCAGTCTCTGACCCACGGTGGCGTCCCTGAACTGCTGGTGGGTCTCTCCTACAATGCCACAACGGGACGCATGTCTGTGGAGCTCATCAAGGGCAGCCACTTCAGAAACCTTGCCATGAACAGGCCACCAGGTCTGCGGGGAGCCTCTCTCACACATACACACAAACAATCGAATTATATACATTTGGTACACGTGTTCACTGTATACATGCATTCATAACAATCTCTTCTTTTCTTCATCACTTGGTCCAGACACCTATGGACGACTGACTCTGCTGAATTCAGTTGGTCAAGAGATCTGTCGGACTAAGACGACAGTACGCCGTGGTCAGCCCAACCCCGTGTACAAGGAGACATTTATCTTCCAGGTTGCTCTGTTCCAGCTGTCAGATGTCACTCTGCTGATCTCTATCTACAACCGCCGCAGCATGAAGCGCAAGGAGATGGTGGGTTGGATCGCTCTGGGCCAGAACAGCAGCGGCGATGAAGAGCAGCTTCACTGGCAGGACATGAGGGAGGGTCGAGGACAGCAGGTCTGCCGCTGGCACGTCCTGCTAGAGGCATAAAATAACTGTCGGGCAGGACTTTACTTTCCTCTTTGGTTTTTCTTATATTTTTTTATTCTGTAGTTAGACAGATTTAGAGCTTTTGGAAAAGAAAAGGAAAGCCTTGATTTAGAGAGTGGATTATTATGGTTAAGATTTCAGGCCTCAGTGATTCACAGAATCTCCCCAATTTTTACATCCAGCACAGATGGTTAGTTTGTGTCAGCATGCAGGACAAAGTCATCGGTCCTCAGGCTGTAATCGGTTTAAAATACAAGCTTTCAATTCATGTTTCAGGAAAGAAAAAATATTTAAAGAC